ATGAAATAGAGCATCGACTACAACTTTCTGAAAAGTTAACAAAGCGTATACTTTCAAAGCTTGTCAAAGTGATGGAACTGAATTCATACGCAATTTTTTTTTGGACTTTAACAAATATTCCAAATTTGAAATCTCATAGTCTTAAAATTAGATCTGATTGTGGATCAGATCAAAGAGTATATAATACACCGTGTGCATCTCAAGTTGCTGCTATTTGGGTTGATGATGATTTTACTACTAATGAACGAGTGCGTGATATAACTATTTCTTGCAATTCGGGAGAAAAACATCATGTACATTATTATTCTGGTTGTTATGATCCTCTTCAATATCCCTTACTATTTCCTTTTGGTAAAACTGGTTGGCACCAAGGTGTTTGACGGGTGTGTTTTACTCACGAGTTTATGCAAATTGTAACTTGATTTTAAGCTAGAATTCATGAGTACAGAACGTTTTTAATGTGTGTATTAATGTTGTTTCATAGGTTTGTTGAGATGGCAAAGGATACGAAGAAAGATATTTAAATTGAAGTTATTGGCATGGACGAAAAAGAAATTGTAACACAAGGGCAAAATAGACAAAGCAAAGATGGGGCGAACCGTACCAGAACGCAAGAAATCGAGAAGAACCAGAGTGTGGGCACCTGGTTGCCACATTCATGACGCTGCAACGCCCCACACTTGTCCGAGTCTCGACACCGAATTCAAGGCGCTACGGTGTCTGATAAGTGTGTTTTTACACACTTATTTAGCTTACAAACATAACTTAAACATGGACAAAGTAGTTGAATTGTGATTTAATCTCGTTAAATTCATGCAATGTAGGTGTTTCTATGGAAAAGATGAAATTCAGAAGAAAATAGCTGAAAAAGGACCAAAACGGAACAAAGCGATAGTTCGGGGACCTAAGGTGCAAATATTGGAAAGTTGAGCTAAAGTGCAGAACGAGAATGAAAATATGCCAAGTATGAGATTGAGGACGATACAAGACGTTTGGAGGAAGAAATAAGTAACATTGGACTGAATTGAAGAAAAGTGAAAGATGAAGGACTAAACTGCAATTAATCAAAAGATGAGCCGAGCAAGTGATCAAGGAATTGATTGATCCAAACATCAATTAGGAGCTGATATTTGATGATGGAACAAAGGAAAGAAAGAAAAGAGATCAAGAAAAGAGAAAACGAAGTTCAGGGACCAAAACAACAAGGTTGTAAAGTTACAACCATGCGGCCGCACAGAACTATGCCATGCGGCCGTACATAGGGTTGTAGGGATTTCATTGAGTTGGATCACTTGAACCAACACCATGCGGCCGCATGGCTATAAAAATCGAAGAAAATTCTGAACTTGCGTTTTTAATTAAAACTCTTTCGGGGCTCCATGAGGATATGATATAAAAGCTAAAATTCATCAAAAATAGGGTAGAACGTCCAGAGAGAAGAAAAATATAACTTTTGGGAGGCAAGAAACACGATCTTGAAGCCGATTCCATAAGAATTCAAGCGGGTTTTCAAGGCTTTATTCAAGATTTCAAGAAGTTTTCATACGGGTGCTATTCTTTATATTTATTAATTTCGTTTTTTCTATAATTATGAATATTCTAGGCTAGGTTTTCAATTCACTAGGTGATCGATGAACCATTGTCTGTTATTTTAATTCCATATTTCATGAATTTAATATAAAGACTCGTTTGGATAATTTGATTGGTTTATATGCATTGATTTTTTTTCGCAATTAGTGGCCAATGATTGTGTGAGTGTTGATAATTTATTTCTTACATTCGAGAGAAGTGGAATATGTTCGATAAGGTGTAAATCAACATAGGGTCCGATAGGGGATAGAGATATACCCTATACTTTATGCAATTCTCTAATTGTTCACAAAACCACATGCATTTTTTTATATTTGCATCATTAATAGAGATATAGGCTGGTGGTGTGCAAGAATAGGTCTAATATATATCGAGAGAATAAATTGGATAGAATTAGGATCATTGAATTGGCAAATTTCCATCGGGTCATTGATTTTATGAAATTAGGGTTTTTATAGCTTCAATTGGGGATTCGTGATCCTAGTGACTTTATTTTGATTCATTTCCATAAATTAGCTTTTGAATTTGCATAATTTCATTTACTTGAGTGTTTGAGTCGTTTAATTAGAGAAATTTCGAAATTAGGGTTTCTAATTGAGAAATTTGGGTTTTCAATATAAATTAGGGTTTTTAATTGAAATTAGGGCTTTTTGCATTTGGACTATATTTTCACTCAATTAGATTCGGTTAAGGCTAGATTATATAGAATTGAACTATTCAATCTCTGTGGGACGATATTCGGACCTTTAAAAATCCACTTTATTATTTGTTACGATCCGTACACTTGCGGTAGTTTTAAATTGAGAGAAATATTTTGTGAACAGCGTCGAGATAGAAAAAAGGGTGGTGCCATCAATTAACGCAACACTACGCAACTCCGCACCCCAGGCGCTGCGACGCTGCTCATAGGATCGTTAGGGCACAAAGTTTTGGCCCGTTTTGGAGTCCATGCGAGAAACCTATTATTCCCACACGACAAGGGACCTATAAATACTTTTTTTTTGAGACTTTGGAGGGTTCTACAGATTCTAGAGACAAAAACACTTCTTGAGAGAAAGGGATAGAGATTCAAAGGGAGAAGACAATGTCAAATTCATGGTGTGAAGCATAAATTGGAAGAAGGAGGAATTCTTGGTGCAAGATCCACTTTTTCTTCTACATACTCTTATTAAAAATTCGGTGATGTACTCTGAGACAATTTGTTGTCGCTCTTCTTTTATTATGCGTAACTAAATCCATTGTTAAGGCGAATAATGTAATCCATTGGAGATCCTTTATATTTTCTTATTAAGATTTTTGGTTTTTAATTTTTTCATGTGTTGATTCTTGCTATGAATTGATTGCATTAAATTATTTGATCAGTAATTTGATGAATTTTGTGAATCCTTTACAAATAGAGATATGAGTTTAGAATTTAGATCATATGGTAAAATTTAGTACGTTGGTATAACGTGTAGAGATACTTATGCCATTTATTGCGGTCATAATTGAATTCCTAGGACAAAAAACTCGTTTAACTAAGTCAAATTTGCATAGAGATATGGAATTTAATTAGTTGAATAGGCTCAATGAGAATTCGAGAGGAGTAAATTGAATATAATAGGAGAATTCGATCAAGCACTACAGTAGAATTGAGTCTTAATTTGAAATGTAAAGGTGATCAATATGTGAAATTATTCTATCCTAACGTCCTGTAATTATTTGATCTTACAAGTTTTTGGTGTGAGCATTTATTTATTGTCTAAAATTAAGATTTAAACTCAAATCATTATAACTTTTAAATTGTTTTCATCAAATAGTAGTTAAAAGAAAATTGAATTAAGTGCTAGAAAATATTCCTTGTGGGATTGAAAATCCGGACTCTTAGGTCCACTATTACTTGTTATGGTTCGTACACTTGCGAAACTAAAATATACAACAAGTTTTTGACGCCGTTGCCGAGGACTATTACTTTTAGTCTTAATTTACTTTATTTTTAACTGTTATGTGATTTGTTTATTTCTTTTATTTACAGAAAATTGTGTTCATTGTATGCTTCGTGCCCAAGGCGACAATCTTGAACAATTTGATTCGGAGATAGAACGTACCTTCAGATGAAGATGCAAAGAGCACAAACAAAAATAGCAATATTAAATGGCTGACAATCAACAAATCCTTATCCCTATTCAGCCGATTAGACAAATGGCCACAAGAGTGGTGGCACCACCGAAGCAGCAACATGAACGAGGGGAAATAAATGAAAGTGATTTGCCATTATCAATGTTCCTGACGCCTATAGCAGTACCCACGCGCTCCAATATTGTGTATCTAGATTTTGAGGTGAATAATTTTCAAATTAGACCAGATTGGATCAATTTGATGAGCAACACCCTACAATTCTACGGGCTACCTCATGAGAATCCAAACACGCATATCTCTAGATTTCTCAAAAACTGTCAGAACTTTCATGCTCCAAGGGTCAATGAAGATACTGTTAAACTACGACTATTCCCATTTATATTGAGAAATACTGCATTGGAGTGGTTAGATGCAGAGCTTCACGCCAACATTGCTACATGGGAAGAACTAACCAGGAAATTTTGCAATAAATTTTTCCCACCGACGAGAGTAGCTAAAATCAAATTGGAGATTCAAACCTTTCAACAGAAAGAGGGAGAAAGCTACCACGAGGCATGAAATAGGTTTAATGAGATGATGAGGAAATGCTAAAACCATGGAATTACTATAGGTAATCAAGTGCAATACTTCTACACTGGATTTACACCATTGTCAAAATCCCAAGTTGATGCCTCAGCTAGTAGATCAATTATAGGAAAATCTGTGTAGCAAACCATGGAACTGTTTGAGTTGATTTCCACTACACATTCAATGTTCTCATCGAAAAGAGTGGGCCATCGAAGACAGGAGAAATGTATGAGTTAGACAGCACAGTAGCTACCAACGCCCAAAATAGCAGCATTGACAAAACATGTGGAGTTGTCGGTGAAATCACAAAAAAAGGAGCACATGCAGTGACAATTGGTCCATCTTGCGAGAATTGCGGGGCTAATCATCTGACAGAAAACTGTACATCTATAGGCTATCCCGATGAACAAGTCAATTTTATTCAGAATGGGTCTTAAAATTTTAATCCATTTGCTCAAACATATAACCCAGGATGGAGACAACACCCAAACATCAGATGGTCGGATAATCAGTAAGGGAACAGATCAAACAGCGCCCAACAGGAGAAAAAACCAAGTTTGGGAGAGATGTTCAAAAAGCATATGCAAAAAACAAACAAGGTGTTCCAGCAGATTGGCACTAACTTTCAGAACCAACAAGCATCCATCAAGAAGTTGGAAACACAAATTGGTCAAATAGCTTAACAGCTTGCAGAAAGTCCACAAGAGACATTGCCAGGCAACACAATGGTCAATCCAAAAGAGCAATTGCAAGCTATTATAACCAGAAGTGGGGTACAACTTCCTGAGATACGTGTGAAGAGACCAAAGCCAAAAAACGAAGAAATAATAAGTGAAGAGGCCGGTACAGAAGCAGAGTCTGAACACCTAAATGACAAAGGGAACAAAAGGAAAGAAATACCTATAGTGAGAGCACCCAGCCCCGTGAGAGCTTACGTGCCACCAATTCCCTTCCCTCAAAGATTACAAAGAAAGAAGTTGGACAATCAATTTGCCAGATTTGTAGAGATTTTCAAGAAACTGCACATCAATATTTCATTTGCAGATGCAATTGCACAAATGCCTAGCTACGCAAAATTTTTGAAAGAAATCCTATCTAACAAAAGGAAGTTGGAAGAACGTGAGATAGTCTGCCTGAACGAGGAGTGCAGTGTAATTCTATTGAGAAAGCTACCTCTTAAACTAAAAGACCAAGGGAGTTTCACGATACCGTGTACAATCGGTTCTAATTATTTTGAACAATCCCTATGTGATTTGGGTGCCAGTGTTAACCTTATGCCTCTCTCTATTTACATGTCTCTTGGGTTGAGAGAAACAAAAACTAAAACAATCTCTTTGCAACTGGCCGATAGATCGATCAAACGATCGAAGGGGATTATTGAAGATATGCTAGTCAAAGTTGACAAATTCATTTTTCCGGCTGACTTCATCATTTTGGACATGGAGGAGGATTCAAACATTCCTTTGATTTTGGGAATTCCCTTCTTGGCTATCGAAAGAGCGTTGATTGATGTTTATGATGGAAAGATGATTATTCGAGTGGACAATGAGCAAGTCATATTCAACTTGTTCAAGGCGATGAGACATCCATTAACTTCGGACACTTGTTTCCAAGTAGATGTTCTTGAAGAGCTTGTGGCAGATATATCGAAGACAGAGCATCGAACAAATCTTTGTGAGGCAAAACTGGAAGTAACAAATGTAGGAAAAGCTGAATGTGTTGTTAACTTAGCCGAGCAACGAATAGGAAGAAGACATTGGCAATTTGAATCTCTTAGTGACAACCTTTCATCCCCGGTACCCTCAGTGGAAAAGGCACCCACTCTCGAGCTAAAGCCCTTACCTTCATATCTTCGTTATACGTATTTGGGAGACTCTGCAACACTTCGAGTAATCATTGCAAATGACATGACAAGAGAAGAGAAGAATAAATTGTTGGAGGTACTCAGACAGCACAAAATAGCAATTGGATGGACGAGAGCTGACATCAGAGAGATCAGTCCAACTTTGTGCATGTATAAGATTTTAATGGAGGACGAGTCAAAGCCATCAGTAGAAGGACAACGCAGGTTAAACCAAACCTTGAAAGAAATAGTGCGAAAAGAATTACTAAAATTACTAGATCCAAGAATAATTTATCTCATATCTGATAGTTCGTGGATGAGTCTTGTACATGTTGTGCTTAGAAATGGTGGAATCACAGTGGAGAAGAACAAGAATAACGAGCTAATACCAACACGGTTAGTGATAGAGTGGAGAGTATGTATAGATTATAGAAAGCTAAATAATGCAACCAGAAAGGACCATTTTCCATTGCCATTCATTGATTAGATGTTGGAGAGGTTAGCAGGACGTACTCATTACTGTCTTCTGGACAGATATTCAGGGTATAATCAGATAATAATTGCTCTAAAAGACCAAGAGAAGACAACCTTCACATGCCCCTACGGAACCTTTGCATTTAGAAGAATGCCTTTTGGTTTATATAATGCACTGACAACCTTTCAACGATGCATGATGGCCATCTTTTCTGACATGGTAGAAAAGTACATTGAAGTTTTCATGGACGATTTTTGTGTGTTTGGAGATTCATTCGAAGATTGTTTAGATCAGTTGGCTCTTGTATTGCAAAGATGTGAGGAGAAAAACATCGTGCTTAATTGGGAAAAATGTCATTTCATGGTAAAGGAGGGAATAGTACTAGGACATCGAATTTCTACACAGGGCATCAAGGTGGACAAAGGCAAAATACAGGTGATTGAAAAATTGTAGCCACCTAATTCAGTGAAGGGAATCAGAAGTTTTCTGGGACATACAGGTTTTTACAGAAGATTTATTCACGACTTTGCAAAGATTACAAAATCGCTGTGCAACCTACTAGAGAAAGATGTACCGTTTTATTTTTCTAAATAATGTCTGAAAACCTTTAACACTTTGAAAGAAAAATTGACATCAGCACCTGTGATAGTGGCACCAGATTGGGAATTCCCTTTTGAGCTCATGTGTGACGCTAGTGACTTTACAGTGGGGGCAGTGCTTAGACAACGCAAAGGAAAGATATTTCATATTATCTACTACTCTAGCAAAACACTGACAGATGCTCAGATCAACTATGCAACAACTGAAAAGGTAATGCTCACAGTTGTTTTTGCTTTTGACAAATTTTGTTCTTATTTGATTGGGTTCAAGGTGATAGTTTATACAGACCATGCAGCTTTGAAGTATCTGTTTAAGAAGAAGGACGCAAAACCAAGGCTAATTTGATGGGTTCTGTTGCTGCAAGAATTTGACATCGATATTCGTGATAAAAAAAGGAACAGAAAATCAAGTAGCGGATCATTTGTCAAGGATAGAACAGTTGTAGGATTCAGATGACATGGATATTAATGAGGTCTTCCTAGATGAACAGTTATTGCAAATAGAGAAGACTCCGTGGTATGCAGACATTGTCAATTACTTAGCAAGTGGTTATATGGATCCAGATCTCACCTATTAGCAGAAGAAGAAGCTACTTCATGAAGCGAAGTTCTATTATTGGGATGAACCAAATTTATACAGACGAGGGGCAGACCAAATCATTAGGAGATGCGTGCCAGAGGATGAGATGAAATCGATCCTTTCATGGGTACATGCTTCGACTTATGGAGGACATTTTGGCCCCACTAAAATAGCAGAAAAGGTGCTTCAATGTGGTTTCTTTTGGCCTACACTGTTTAAGAACTGCCACAATTTTTGTAGATCATGTGATAAGTATCAGAGAACCGGTAACATATTAGCACGTCACGAGATGCCACTTAACAATATTCTGGAGATGGAAATATTTGATGTCTGGGGGTTGGCTTTATAGGTCCTTTTCCATCATCTTACAATAATCGATACATTCTAATTGCAGTGGAATATGTTTCTAAATGGGTAGAAGCAAAAGCATTGCCTACAAATGATGCTAGGGTGGTGGTGGACTTCATAAAGAAACACATCTTTAACCGCTATGGATCACCAAGAGCCATTATAAGTGATGGTGGAATACACTTCCGCAATCGGTTATTCCAGGTAGTGTTGCATAAGTACGTGGTACAACATCGAATCACCACTCTTTACCACCCCTAAACGAGTAGAAAGGTGGAAACCTTGAACAGACAATTGAAACGAATTCTAGAGCTTACTATGAATGCATCTCGAAAGGATTGGTCGAAGAAATTGGATGATGCTTTATGGGCATATCACACTGCTTACAAAACACATACTGGAATGTCCCCGTACCATCTTGTTTTTGGAAAAGCATGCCACCTACCAGTGGAGTTTGAGTACAGAGCGTACTGGGCATTGAAGCAATTAAACATGGATCTTAAGAAAGTCGGAGAAACAAGAACATTGCAATTACATGAATTGGAGGAATTCAGAAGAGAAATACATGAGAATGCATCCATTTACAAGGAAAGGACGAAGCAATGACAAGACAAGAACATCAGTCAACTAATTTTCAGAGTAGGAGGTCAAGTGCTATTATACAATTCCAGACTTAGGCTTTTTTTGAGAAAATTGAAATCAAGATGGTTCAGCCTCTTTACGGTCTCCCAAGTGTTTCCCTATGGCACAGTTGAACTACACCATCCTACAAAGGGAAATTTCAAAGTAAATGACCAACGCATCAAGCACTACGTGGAAGATTTCCCATTGCCAAGGAGAGCCTTGACCTCGCTGTAGAAGAATAATCGCGACGCTAAGTTTAGCTAATGACTCTAAAGAAGCGTTTTTTAGAAGACAACCTAAGCGTCTTTTTTCTTTCTTTCCTTCATCTGTTTCTTCATTTTTGTTTAACTTTCTGCTTTGTTGAGAATCTAGGCCAGAGGCATGACTTTTCCTTTCTGTTTTGTAGGAATATTCTAAAACGGAATTACATTTTGTGAACGGATGAGGAAAACCAAGCTACGTCATGCATGAGGATGGTACTAACATGGAAGGAGGTATTTTTATTAAAAAAAAAAGGGGACCTGGTGCTGCGACGCCACTTCAGGGCATAGCGGCGCCGTTACATCAACAGCCTGGCGCCAAACCCTCCCCATTCTATTTTATTTTATTTATTTTTCTTAGTTATTGTATTTATATATTACTCACTCACCTCCCCTTCCATTTTAAATTTTTTCCCAACTCAATTTCACCCTAATCTCTTTCCCTCCATCTCTCCCTTAGTCTATATTTCACTTATATTTTTTAACACACAATTTCCTCCCCACTTCATATCTTAGGTACATCTCTTTACATTCCACCAAGATTTTGGACTTGCCACAAGATTCAAGGTTTGTGTTCATATATGCCTTAGTTTGTAATGGTCATTTAAGCTTAATGCATCACAACACTTGTTTGACATTTGAAATTTTTAGTGGGTTATAGTGGATGTTGTTACCATCACAATTGGGGTTTGTGATTTTTTTACTTGAATTTAAGTTTGGGGGAGATTGCATGTATGACTTTGTGAACTATACTTTGCATGTAAGGTGTTTGATGAAATGTTCCAATGACTCTTAATTTCTTATGGGCACCAATTGTACACTTTACCCCTGTGTTTCATGTCATTGCAGTACCTTAGTGCAGATTTAAGTGGTTCGAGGTGTTTGATTATTGCAGTATACAATGCCACCAAATAAGAAATCGAAGGCCTCGACATCCTCATCAAGCACTTTTGACACGAGCAAATTTGTGAGTGAGGAAGCGGAACGCAAATACCATGACATGGTTATACACAAGAACTGTATTCCAGCGCAGGGATTTGATGATTTGGAACCTTATATACAAGAGCAAATTGAGGGCCGAAAATGGGAGTGGGAGTGTTTTACAAAACAACCACAACCAGGACTGATACCAGTGGTGCGGGAATTTTATGCAAATGCTAGGGAACACCAGGACCTGAAATCTATGTCAGAGGAAAGTGGATCCATTTTGACAGTACCACCATTAATCGGTACTATGGATTGCCAGATATAAAAGATGATGATTTCTCAAGATTGCGTGATGAAGAGGCGATTGATCTGGAAGTTATAATTAGAGAGTTAGCCTACCCTGATGTCTCTTGGAAACGATCCAGGTCCAATGTCACCAACTTTCCAGCTGTAGGTATGTTCCCTGAATGTAAGACATGACACTATTTCATATGTGGTAAACTTTTGCCCAGTAGTAATATCAGTGAAGTGACTAAAGATTGGGCATTACTAAATTTTATTATTCAGCGAGGCCTCAGCGTAGACATGGGCACAGTTATTCAAAACAACTTCTTGCGATCACTGAAAGGAGCTACAATTGCCGGTTTAGGCTATCCATCCTTAATCCATGTCCTATGTAGGAGGGACAAAATTCCAACTACTCCTACTGAGAAGATAGTTCACCCTAAACCCGCTGTGACTAAGAGGCTGATTTTGCAATTCTCTTCCAAGCAAATCTTTGCAAATGCTCATCCACAAGGGATTGAAGCATAACCATCTCGACCTAGTCCTCTACCACCTGCTAGTTCCAACACCGATGACATTACTGGGTGGATTGAGGCTTTGCAGCTACAGCTGACCCAAAGACATGCTGAACTGGAAACACGAAGTCAAGCACAATATGATGGACTTCAGCAGCATTTAGCACAGTTGCAATCCTGTATGACCGACCAATATCAGCAATTACAGATCTCCATGCATACCCAATTTCACTACCAAAATGAGTTCTTTTCAGTGCTGGTGTCCGCCTATCCTAACTTGTCATTTCCGACATAGCCAACATATCCACTGTATCCAGCCAACCCGAATCCCTCTCAACGAGACGATGGCGAGGGCACCCACAGATGATTTCAGTAAAGTCTTACTCCTCCTTTGACTCTCATTTTCTTTACATTATGGACAATATATGGTTTAAGTTTGGGGGGTAATCGCTTGGGTTACTGGCTATCGGTTCTTTTTGTGTGAATGAATGTCTATCATTTCATTGTGTGTGAATGTGTAAAAAAAATCCGAAATGTTGCGTGCTTGTGTGAGTCGGATGTGTTGTCCGCCATGATAAATATATTTGAGAGCATGTGTTAGTTCATGGACAATGGAAGATTTATATGCTTGAGTTGGGTTTTTACTTATCTATGTGAAGCAGTGTAATATTTATGCATGAGTACTAAGTTTAGCATTGTACAGGCACATGATGGTTCATATGCTTTTGCTCAATTGATAACTTAGGTATTGGACCTTGTACCCCATGATTTACAACACCTTTCACCACTTGTTTAATGGTTTGGGATGTTCGACTCGGTGAAAGAAGTAATTTAAGCTTGTGATGATTCCGTGCATGTTACAAATTTGTGTGGAGTGTATTTAACTTTCTGGTATAAGCTTAGTTATGACCGCAAGCTAGAGATCTATCCCTTAAAAATTTCGCTTCATAGAAATGAAGCATCGCACTTCAAAGCTACATCTCATACCTGTACCTTTTTTTACTCGAGTTATTAAGTCCGTAGGGGTCTTTCAAAACGTGGTGCCCTAAAGTCGTCTAACTTGGGAGTTACCGACCTAACACTCGCTAAAGGGGTTAAGAAGAGGAAAAAAGGGTGAGGTACAAAAAAAAGGGTTAGAAAAGTGTTTGTACACAAGTTAAAACACAAAAGAACTGAATTTGGAGACAAAGATATCTAGCAGGTTTGAATCCTTGGTATAAACTAGACTGTTGAAACATTCAAAATTGAGGAGAATTATTACATGAATAAGTTATTGACATCACCGGTAGAGCTAAACCAAATTAGAGCGGTGTGAGACATTGGCAAGTAAAATTAAAACCTTAGAACCACACCATGGTGAGAGAGTAGAAGAAAACAAATTTGGGATGTGTGTGAATCTCACGAGTGAAGAAAGAAAAGAATTGACCACAGAGGATTGGGGAGTGAACTAACTTGTGAAGGTACAGCGTTACACTTAATCTCTCTCACACACACAACTGTTTTGCATAGCATAAGTGAATAGTTGGCTCTTGTATTGCAATCTAGAAATCGCTCACGAATGTGACATAATGTTCTCAATGCTGAGCCAAGAGGCGAGCCATCTAACCGAATCATTATTTGTGTCTTTAGTTGGTTTCTTTTCTTTGTGTGTTTGCTTGAGGACTAGCAAATGGTTAAGTTTGGGGGTATTTGACGAGTGTATTTTACTCACGACTTTATGCAAATTTTAACTTGGTTTTAAGTTAGAATTCACTAGTATAGAACGTTTTTAATGTGTGTTAATGTTGTTTTATAAGTTTGTCAAGATGGCAAAGGATACGAAGAAAGATCATTAAATTGAAGTTATTGGCATGGACGGAAAAGAAGTTGTAATACAGGGGCAAAATAGACAAAGCAAAGATGGGACGAGCACCAGAACCCAAGAAATCAAGAAGAACCAGTTGTGGGTGCCGCGACGCCCTACACTTGTCCGAGGCGCCGAGACAGAAAAAAGGGTGGTGCTACGGCGCCATCCATCAATTAACGCGGCGCCTAGGGTGAGGCGCCGCGCATAGGATCGCTAGGGCGCAAATTTTCGGCCCATTTTGGAGTCCATGAGAGAAACCTATTACTCCTACACAGCAAGGGACCTATAAATACGTTTTTTTTTTTAGACTTTAGAGGGTTCTACAAATTCTAGAGATAAAAACACTTTTTGAGAGAAAGGGGGAGAGATTCAAAAGGAGAAGACAACGCCAAATTCATCGTGTAAAGCATAAATTGGAAGAATGAGGAATTCTTGGTGTAAGATCTACTTTTTCTTTTACATACTCTTATTAAGAATCTAGTGATGTACTCTAAAACAATTTGTTGTTGCTCTTCTTTTATTATGCATAGCTAAATCCATTGTTAGGGCGAATAATATATCCCACTTGATATCCTTTATATTTTCTTATTAAGATTCTTGATTTTTAATCTTTCCATGTATTGATTCTTGCTATGAATTGATTGCATTAAATTATTTGATCAGTAATTTGATGAATTTTGTGAATCCTTTACAAATAGAGATATGAGTTTAGAATTTAGACCATATAGTAAAATTTAGTACATTGGTATAATGTGTAGAGATACTTATGCCATTTATTGTGGTCATAATTGAATTCCTAGGACAATGAACTCCTTTAACTAAGTTAAATTTGCATAGAGATATGAAATTTAATTAGTGGAATAGACTCAATGAGAACTCAAAATGGGTAAATTGAATACAATAGAAGAATTCGACCGAGCACTACAATAGAATTGAGTCTTAATTTGAGATGTAAAGGTAATCAATAGGTGAAATTATTCTGCCCTAACGTCCTCTAATTATTTTATCTTACAAGTTTTTGGTGTGAGCATTTATTTATTGTCTAGAATTAAGATTTAAACTCAAATCATTATAACTTTTAAATTGTTTTCATCAAATAGTAATTAAAGGAAAATTGAATTAAGTGCTAGAAAATAGTCTTTGTCGGAT